AATCAGGCAGGAAAACGATGCTGGGTGTGGGTGTGGGTGTGTGTGTGGGGGTGTGTGTGTGTGTGTGCGAGAGAGAGAGAGAGAGAGAGAGAGAGAGAGAGAGAGCACTTTAGATTAACCTATTCCAGCAGTGTTTATCAGGCCCACTTTTCTAATCACTCCAAGAGACTGAATTGGTTGACTTTTCCTGCGTGGCAGGCCTGAGTTTTCTTTGTAGCTTATCTGCCCATCCCAGAAAACAGCAGTACCCGGTGAAGGCCACTCCTGCAAAGCGCAGGGAGCTCAGCCTATCTGCCTCTCTTCTTCATGTTCCCTTTCATCTGACTCTCACCATCTCTCCAGTTATCTCATTCCTTGATTTCAAATTCCCTCATGATATGCTAGGCTATGATATGCTATCTAATATGATAGGACAGGATATAGCATAATTCTTCGGAGCCACATTAGACAGCGATAAGTGTTCAGATTGATGTGTTGGATCTAGAAAGACCTCACTGACAGTTGTCAGACTTCTGACAACTCAGAGCAGCGGCCAGGATTCAGCGCATGAGGAATGTTAAACACAAAAGCAAATTTACTAAGCATCAACTGTGTTTCACACAATGTGCCTAGACGAGTGGAAGATGGAGCTAAAATAAATCATTTATTATGTGGCTCTAGATAAGGAGTTTACTGCCAAGCATAGAACTGTAACATGGTAACATACTATAATACAAACTGTAAAAAAGTGTTACAAATGGGTTCAGAGAAGGAGATATCTCTGCCCAATGAGTCTATCAGGGAAGACATCACATGTGACCTTCCTATGGAGAAAGGGCCCTTCTAGACAGAAGAGAGAGCATTAACAAAGCAAGGGGACAGTGAAGCCAAGGTGGACTAGGGAAGCGATGCATCACACAGGCTGCCTGAGCCCACGGTGCATGGATGGAAGCATGAGAGACAACATGGGGGAGTTGAGGCCGGATTTGGGGGGAGGGGAAGAATAGGGCTTTAAATTTTAGATTTCATGTCCGATACCATTTTAATTAGGTCATTTCCTTGCTCTAAACTTGCACTGGCTCCTCCTTGCTGGACAAATACAGGAAGAGCCAGCGGCTGTGTAGGAAGTAGACACTGATTATATGGGGCTAGGATGAAAGAGAAAGACGAGCTCCAGCCACAGAGTTTGAAGACTCCAATAAAGCAATAGGATTCTATTTCCTAATATGTTAAACAAAGCTGTCAATCCAAGTCAAGGCTGCTCAGTTGAATATTCATTAAAGGCCCAGTCAAGACACACAATCCCTCTGCCCACTCCTGACTGCCATTCTTTTTCTCATGTTATGATGATTCTACAGTTACAGATCATATGAGTCTCACAGAAATAAGCACGAAACAGGTACCTTTGGGCTGTTGGGCCAAGTGTTGGACTGGAAATTCAATGATTTAATATTCCAATGAATCGGTTGTGTCACCAGGGGCTTGGGGCTACTAGCTTGACCTTTTTTATAATGTTTCACATTATGGGGATAATTGCACTGTTTCTCTCAGGGGAGTTGTTAAGAGAGTTAACAAAAACATTTGTGTATAGAACCCAGCGCTGGCTAGAGATTTAGTGTCACTACTCAGCAAGTTCTAAATGGTTGTTGGAAGCCTTTAGTTCTGAGATACAGATAGCGATGTTCAGGGCTAGTACAGTTCTTCTAGACTCATTTAAATTTCTGGCTTTTGTCAAGGATCAAGTTTATACGAGTTACAATTATGTCTAAAGAAGATGAAATTCATTTGCTGTTTCTCACACAGGAACAAAAAGAAACCCTATTTAACAGGTCCTTCTCTGATTGTTCATTTCAAGAGGTTGGTTCCTGAGATATTGGTCTTGTATTTATAAGATTGACAGAAGAATCTCCAGAACTTTAACAGGGGTAGATGAATATATTGTACCTTTAATATTAAAGTTAGTTTATAAAAGGCTTATCAACCCAACAGAGTACAAGAGAAAAGTTACATACATCGAAATGAATTTGCTAGTCAAGAAGGCAAATATGGATACTTCCAAAGAGGACATTTCTCTCCCCTTACCCCAAGCCTGCTGGCAAAGCAGTAGCTCTCCCTCTGTTTCCTCTACAAAAAAGCCCAGATAAAGTCTGAGGATCCCCAACAGGAGGAGTGCTGGTGGAGATAAATCACCTAAGTGCTCCCCATTCCTCTCATCTGTTAACACTGACAGGCAATGTAATCAAGACAAGCCCTGATGTGGTTTATTGTTTTCCTATTATACAAGCTAGTTTTGTCCCCATCCCATCTGGCTCCCGAAGTTCGTCAAAGTGACTATCCAGGTGGAAAATTCCTTACACAGTCAATTTTGAAGGAGCCATATGGATGGAGAGCAATATTACCCCTAATAAATAACTCACTGATAATTAGTTCTCAAAAGAAAGTTTTAGCTCTCATGGGCTATTAGCATTTCATGTTAAATCCTCTAGGACTTTGTAATTAGTTGAATGCTCTGATCCTATTGGAAATATCAACCACTTGTTTTCCATTCCAGCTGTCACAGTCCTTAGTACAAGAAAGAGGAGGGTTGAGGGGTGTACAGAAAAGAAGGTGGTGATCACATACTGTACACCTTTACAGGGAGTCCCTTGGACCCAGAGGACTCAGCATGCCCAAATCATCATGTCCTTATCCCATGTACATCCCTCAACCCTCCTTCTTTGTTATAGTCCATAATTGAATAAAAGTCACCCCTTATAGTCAGTCATCCAAACCCCTCCCTGTTTGGAAAGTGTCTTCGGTCTCTCATTTTCCCCAACCTCTATTACCAATCCATTGCTAAACCATATCATTTCTACCTCTTAAATGTCTGTCAGTAGTACTCTTTTCTCCATTCCCTTTGCCTTCATTGATCACCTGGTATTCTTAACTTCATTCTTAGAGAAGGAGCCCAGGAGCAAGCCAGGGCATAGGGGAGATATAGTTTCATGGGACCTGGAGCTAGAGTGGGTGTGTGGTTGGCAAGGCTTGCCCAAAGCGATGGAAGATGGAAGAGTCTAAAGGGAAAGGTAAGATCCACAGCTTGGAAAGACAGTCAGAAAGTATCAAATCCAAGACCCTGTGTGTTTGGGCGGGAGAGGGGATGAGGTTATAGGGCTATTGCTGAGTGATTATTCAGTATTTGAAGTTTGTACTTATGGCAGGAATGTGATGGCCCAGTGGGACAGGAGTAGGCGGACATTGGAATTGTAAGCTTCCAAATCAAGCCTCCGGTCTCAAAAGCACCAAATAAAATTCGTAATTATTTTATTTGTCCTTTTCTTTTCTCAGGTCCCCACTAGAATCTAAGCTTTGAAGTCAGGGACCTCTTTACATGTGTCACCATTATATGCCCAGGGTTTCCCATAGTACTTCAGGCGTGATAGACACCATAACATATTTATTGAGAACCACATGAATTGGTCTTGAATCTCATCACTTCAATGCTTAAGAATTCTTCAGTGACTCCATCAAGAATTTAGGATAAAATAAATCCAGAATCCTCAAGTTCGCATTAAGCAAATAAGCAAAAAATAAGCCATTTGGTTAGTTCAGGTTATTTTCCCAGTGGGTAGCTTACCATTTCCTCCCTCTTCCCCCTACAAGGAGGTCCGGTTTTAATCACAACACACTACTTGTCGCTTTTTGCACGTGTCCTATTCATTCACCTCTTTCTTAATAAGCAGCGATAGTTCAGGAAACACATTTTCCAGAAAGCTTTTTCCAACTTTACCCCTGGCCTTGGTCAAGTAAGAAGGCAGTGATGGTTAATTTTGTGCCAACATAGCTAGGCTATGGTGCCCGGTTGTTCGGTCAAACACCAGTCTAGATGTTGCTATGAAGATTTTTTTAGATATGGTTAACATTTAAATCAGTAGACTTTGAGTAAAGCAATTGCCCTCTATAACGTGATTAGGTCTCATCCAATCGTAGAGAACTTGAAGAGCAAAGATGGAGGTTTCCCAAAGAAGAAGAAATTCTCCTCGAGACTACAACATAGAAACATTGCCCAAACTTCCAGCCCGTGGCCAGCCCTACAGACTTCAGACCTGCTAGGTTTCACAACCACAGGTGACAATTCTGTAAAATCAATCAATCCGTCAATCTCTCTCTCTCCCCCCACCCCATAAAAATATGTATATATGTGTATATATATATATATAGAGAGAGAGAGAGAGAGAGAGAGAGAGATTGTGTTTCTCTGGAGAACCTATACTGATACAGGAGCTTTCTATTTTAACTCCTAGGTCTAACTTAGCAGAATGAGTAAATGAAAAATTAAATCCAGCATGAAGTCACGCTCCCTTAACAGAAGAGGACTTTGCAGTGCAGAGATAATCAGCTCATGGTAGGGAAACACTAGTGAGGTTAACTGACACCTGGTCCCCAGCATCTCCTTGATTAGTCCCTCCCTTGCCACCCCCCCCATGACTTGATCATCTGAGGCATAATTAAAAATAATGAGGCAAATAGACATATTGTGAGTCCATTCATTCTGTTTTGAATGCGGGGGAACACATTACAAAGATTTCAACCCGTACTACCAGCCCTGTGGATTGGGAATGGCTGGATGGGCCTCTGCCCTCCTGGAAGGAGGCAGCAAAATCCGCTGCTCTTCTAGAGAGCCTAAAAAGCGGGATGCCTTTCTCTGTGCATCCCGACTCACTCCTTTTTATGTGGGCTTTAATTTTTGAATGACCGATGAGTCACTGAAAAAGACCTCTCCACACCAGCGGCTTTGGCCCGCTTGTCATTCAACCTCGGGTCTAAACAAACCTCAACATGTCTTCAGTGAGGTAAGTAAGCACATGACCGAAGCTCTAGGCAAGGATTGCCAGACGACGGCTATCTTGTTCGTGCTTGCTGGACTTCTGCGTTTACGCTGGAAAATGCCAGATGGTTCCCAGTAGGTATGACGGAGAGTAGGTACTGGTAAATATATACCAACAATCTCCACGAATGAAGGGCACATGGAGAGTTCTTACCGATATGCACGTCGTCAACTCCCTCCTGCTTGGCCTCCTCTCTCTGGGTATTATCTTCCTCCATCAGGATCTTCTGCTGAATCTCAGAGGAGAAACTGGGATCGATACCAGCCTGTACTCAGCGAGAAAAGAAAAGTACCATGACTGGGAAGCCAAGGCGACCTCTGAAACCTGAAGGTCAACAGAGCTAACATCTGGAGAACACTAATGGCAGTTGAATTTGAAAAACAGACATCCTGGATCATCTTCTAATCCCACTGCTGCCTATCCTTTAGAATAACAAACTTAAACCCCATCACTATCAACCACCACCACCAACAGCACACTTTAGGGGGAGGGGTGCCTGGGTGGCTCAGTTGGTTAAGCCTCTGCCTTCAGCTCAGGTCATGATCTCAGGTTCCTGGGATCGAGCCCGTTGTGGGCTCCCTGCTCAGCCTGCTTCTCCCTCTCCCTCTGCCCTTCCCCCTGCTCATGTACTTTCTCTCTAACTCTCTCTCTCAAATAAATAAATAAAATCCTTTTTAAAAAGCACACTTTTGGGTAGAATTGTTACAGATTTAAAAAAATAGATGCTAGCAAACAAGTATGGTCAATATTTAGACAGAAGAATCAGTTTCTCAGCATAGTTGTTTCAGCTTGGGTTTTGTTGTTACTTGTTTTCTGTTTCATCCCATGCTTTGCCAGCCATCCTGTTAGGTACTTTGTCTTCATTATTTCTTTTAATTTTTACAAAATCTCATATTTTGGAAAAGGGAACCAATGCCTTTGTTCTTAAGAGCTCCCCAAGGAGCTCCTGACTTTAAGTCATGCCTTTCTCAGCTCTCATACGAGTCCAATTTTCTCTGCAGACTCAGGGGTGCCCTAGGAGATGATGTGGTCCCACCGTCATGTAAGGGATCCAATTTATCATGCGCCTACTATGCCAAATATTTCTCATCTAATTTTCACAGTGACTCTAAGATTCAGTATTATCATTCCCATTTCACAGATAAGAGACCTAAGGCTCAGGAAAAATGAGGGAGTTATTAAAAGTCACATAACCAGTAACCCATGTTACCATGTAAGGTAACAACCCTTACCTACCATTCAGATGCTGAAAAGTATCAGGTTTTGTTCAAATTATTCTTGGTATATTAGGGAGGATGGATTTTTAATGGTGACAGAACTAGAGGCAGAAAGACCAGTTAGAGGTCTATTCAATATTTCTAGGGAGAGACGTTAAGAAACTAAAGTAGGGCATTTGTTTAAGATAACAAGGTTCAGACTGTGATATACATATAGATATAGAAATAGGCAAAGGCATAGAGATAGATATAGATATCTTACCAGCACAAGATAACTCAAGATGATTTACTGGTACTGGAAGGTGGGTATCTGGTGTGATTTTGGTAGCTGATAGATGATGATGCCATATCTAAAGGAGCCAAGAGCACCATGCAGAGAGAATGTGTCTCTCCATTCCCCTCTATTCCGAGAGGTTATGAGTGAGAAGAAAAGAACAGAAGCTAATCTCAACTCTTACACAGAGAAACAATGCTCTACCTACTTGCCTCTCAAGATGCTTCTCTCAGGTTTTGAGATCTTGATGCTACCTCTCAGCTTTCCTCACCGATTTAACTGAAGATATATTTAAAGTAGTCCTTGGCATGGGGTAAGGGCTCAAGAAATTCTATCTTCTTTTTCCACTCCTTTCACTGTCCTCTCTCTTGTCCCCACTTGGAACTCATCAAGCGCTAACTATTCACATACAGACCTCTGGTATAGAACGGGGTAACTGTAAAAGCAGACAAAACATACTCACCTAGCTCAATCTCCTCCATGCTCGGCAATCATAGCAAAATGCTGGGGACCATTGAAACCAAGACCCTGAGTGCCTCCTGAGGAAACTATGGTATCTCTTCACATATATCCCAGCACCGCTTTCTTTATAATGTGAGAAGCAGCAGAAGAAAAATACGTCCTTATAATAAAATATCCCAATGCTTATGTGGGCTGCCATTGTGCCAGACATCTTGCTGAAGTTTTTACAGACATCATTTAGTCCTCACCTAATTTACTGCGGTGGGTTTGCCTATCTGACAGATGAGAGAATAGAAGGTAGAAGAGAAGGAAGAACTTTTCCAAGGTCACAAAGTCAGTCAGTGGAGAGAGCGAGCAACCTTCAAAAGCTCTGTGGGACTCTGAGGTCAGGTCTCTCCATCTCTCCATTGTCCCCACCTCCCACAACCTTTCTGTTGTCACCAAGCTCCCCCTCATGGAGATTGCTCTGCTAAGAGCAGTGGAGGAACATGATTCTAACATGTAAATACTTTTGCAATCATCCCATGTCAATGCAAAAATACGGATTAAATATTCGAAAACAATATCTAATACCACATTACGAAAGTATAGCATGACCAAGTGAGATTTATTTCGTGAATGCAAGGATGATTCGGTATTAGGAAATCTAGTAATATAAACACCAAATCAGTAGATGTAAGAGGAATAATTACGTGATTATCTCCTATAATAAAAAAAAACAAGAACAAAACCAAAACAAAGCTTTTGACAAAAACTTCCTGATAAAAACACTCAAGAAAATAATTGAAGCATATTTCCTAAACAGAACTCCTTGGTCCTAAAACCAGCATTGTACGTAATGAGGAAATACTAGAGACATTTCCACTAAGATTAGGAAAGAGTCAAGAATGCTTACTATGTCTACTAATCTTACTATCTCTACTACTACTATTGAACATTGTCCTAGAGGAATTAGCCAGTACAATTTAAAAGGGCAGAACAATAGGAGGCACAGGAATTGGAAAAGAAGTAAAACTATTTTCAGATGATATGATAGTGTACTCTGAATACCTGAGAAAATCAACAATAAACTAACACAAACAATAAAATAAATGTTAATTTATTAGTACCAATTTTAGTTTTGCTAGTTTTAGAATAACTTCAAGCTTCAGAAGAGCTGCAAGAATACAAAGAGTATTTTCCCTGGAACCATTTGGAAATAAGTTTTGAACATGGTGCCCATCATTACTGAATGGTTTGGTGAAGTAACCCATCAAACAAGGACATTCTCCAGAAACTCATGATATCAGGGTCAAAATCAAGAAATTATCATTGACGCTGGCGTTGAATTCACAATCTCCTTTCAAGTTTAATCAATTGTCTCAACAGTATTCTTTATCGGAGCTAATCTAGGATCATGTGTTGCATTTAGTGGTTTTATCTCTTTAGTTTTTTTTCAGTCTGGGAAAGTGTAGCACAGGTGGCCTTTCATAGACTAATTTACCCTCACTCCCATCACCTCTGTGCCAGGGGTGTTGGGAAAGGCCAGGACTGACCACAACCAAAACCCATCCCTCCGGACATATAAAATGAACAGTTGTTTGAGTGTGCAGAGAAGTGTGGAAGTGATGCCATACTTTTATCTTCTTTTATTTTTCCCATAAAAGTTTTAAAGCCAACTGTAAAAGTAGAAATAGGGTAAACCATTCACTCTTTGCTGAATTCTTCCTTGATAGAATGTTCACAGGAAAAAAATCATCTCCTTTCCAAAATGGTTCTAGGACAAGCTCTCCTAGGTTAGATTTAACAGTACATCTCTTAGGTTGTGTATTCTCAGGTCTGATTGGTCTCCAAGTAAATCTCAGGTAAGGAGACTGTTCTTAGATTACATTTGAAAATTTGAAACATACAATTGCCCCCACAGTGTTAGACAGGAGTTCTAGGCAAGTTAAAAAAACAAAACAAAAGAAAACCATTTGAATCTGACTTTGCTTCAAAGTTCTGTTGGGAATTCTTGGAAATCTGTTAAATTACCCCCAATCCCATGGAATGATAATTCAAATTTCTTTACAGGTAGAGTCTACAACTACTTTTCCATATTATATTTTTTAATATCAAATCGTTAGCTTTCACTGATTATGTGAAGGCTTTTGAAAGCATAACAAATACATAGGTAGCCATCATGCTGTGTTTGAAGAATCTTGGTCCTCTTTAACTTACCCAGATACATTATTGGATATTCCTTATTTTGAGGGTCTACACAGTTGCTTAAGCCAGTGTAAATGATGATGGGGAGAGCTCCCAGGTTTTTACAGCAGATTCTGGATTTCCTTGAGTGCCTGGGATCCATGCTTTTCAAAGCCACCTCAGTGGAAGTACTTTTGAACGTTGATGTTCTATTATCTCATCTCCTTAGTGGCAGAATAACATCCCTCAACACCCACTTTTTTTTGCTACCTTTCTTCGTGGGAGCCATTTTTTCTCAGAACAGGTTGGAAAGAAAGGGAGGGATTATGGGTTATGGGAAGAGTGAAATTCCTCTTCCTAGTTGCCTGTAGACAAAGCCATACCAGGGAACTTTAAAAAATACAGATTCCTTAATACCAGCCCAGACTTTCTAATCAGAATCTGTGGAAGAGGATCCAGGAAAATGTATTTTTAAAAAATTTTTTTAAAGATTGATTTATTTATTTGAGAGAGAGAGAGAGTGTGTGTGCATGGGTGGGAGGGGGAGAGGGAGAGGGAGAGAGAGTCTTAAGCAGACTCCGCGCTGAATCTTAATCTCGCCACCCTGAGATACCGACCTGAGCCAAAACTAAGAGCTGGACATTCAACTGCCTGTGTCACCCAGGTGCCTTGATAGTATGTATTTTTTTTTTTAGGAAATTTCTCAAGAGATTCTTCCTTGACTAGCACTGAGAAGTTTTGTTCTACACATAGCATTAGCAGAATGATCCCTAAAAAAACTTACACGAGTCTGGAAAAGGATGCTCTCGATAGCCCCTTCTTAGCAAGCCGTGGCTCATGTTAGCAGCTGTATTTAAGGAAACATCTATTTAATTTTGTTTAATCCAGAATTTCTCAAATTTATTTGAGTATAGGACATATATATATTTTTTGATACAATGCATCACTCTACCACCCCCAAAAAGCACAAAATTTGTGAAATGTTGTTACCGAAAATACAACTCACCATGTCACCCCCTTTTTATTAACAAGATCAGCAACTCTGATGTTTGGCAGCTCGGTGATGCATGTAACCGTAACTGCATCTAACCTAAGAGAGATTGTCCTAGAACCATTTTGGAAAGGAGAC